ACCATCTGAATGATTCAGAGGACAACTGGGTGAAAGTGTTGTGGTCAGATGAGACCACAATGGAGCTCTTTGGCATCAACTCAACTCGCCGTGTTTGGAGGAGGAGGAATGCTGCCTATGGCCCCAAGAACACCATCCCCACCGTCAAACATGGAGGTGGAAACATTATGCTTTGGGGGTGTTTTTCTGCTAAGAGGACAAGACAATCTCACCGCATCAAAGGGATGATGGACGGGGCCATGTATCGTCAAATCTTGGGTGAGAACCTCCTTCCCTCAGCCAGGGCATTGAAAATGGGTCGTGGATGGGTATTCCAGCATGACGATGACCCAAAACACACGGCCAAGGCAACAAAGGAGTACCTCAAGAAGAAGCACATTAAGGTCCTGGAGTGGCCTAGCCAGTCTCCAGACCTTAATCTCATTAAAAAAATCTGTGGAGGGAGCTGAAGGTTAGAGTTGCCAAACGTCAGCCTCGAAACCTTAATGACTTGGAGAAGATCTGCAAAGAGGAGTGGGACAAAATCCCTCCTGAGATGTGTGCAAACCTGGTGGCCAACTACAAGAAACGTCTGACCTCTGTGATTGCCAACAAGGGGTTTGCCACCAAGTACTAAGTCATGTTTTGCAGAGGGGTCATACTTATTTCCCTCATTAAAATGCAAATCAATTTATAACATTTTTAACATGCGTTTTTCTCGATTTTGTTGTTGTTATTCTGTCTCTCACTGTTCAAATGAACCTACCATTAAAATTATAGACTCATCATTTCTTCGTCAGTGGGCAAACGTACAAAATCAGCAGGGGATCAAATACTTTTTACCCTCACTGCATATATATGGAGTTTCCACGTTTCTTTCTCTCTCTCTCCCCGTGGTCAGCGTGGATTTTTCTCCGGGTCCTCCGGTTTTTCCCTCCACATTTAGAATCAACATCACGAGTTTAGAGCATTTGGCTGCTGCTGGACATTTCCACGCGATAAGCCACTTTCTCGTTGAGTTATCATTTGTGGCCAGGTCGCTTCTGAAACAGAGCTATCATAGCTTAGTGGGCCTTACCACCTGGTACATTTTTATTTAAAAAAAAAGTTTTAAGACACACGTTTGGCAGTTGGAGATGGCTGATCATGCTGTGTCGTCAGTGTCGTGTGTCAGCGTCGTGTGCAAGTTGTTGGCCAACTGCAAGTCAAGGTTGCAGAGCTCTACAGGAAAGGTGAGTGGGGACTACACCTGCACATTTGCCGCACAATATATAACGATCGGTACCAGGGTGTGCAAATGTACGCGATAACATCATAACAACAATAATAACAACCGCACAAAAGTGTTTGCTGCTTAAGCGCTGAGATGCAAATCCCAGAGAGGGCCCGTTGCGCATGACTGTTGTCGGCTTCGTGCACAGACGTGTTTAAAAAAAAAACGTACTGTTTGCAGAGAGACAATGCACGCCCGGTCATCCGTGTGCGCAACGCCACAATCACCACCATCAGCATCAGGCGCAGCTTCTTTGGGCACGATAGAGCGCCGCCTAGCGACCGGCTGGTGCTCATGCACACGCACAACCAATACCAGCACGCGCACACACACACACACACGTGTCGGTTACATAATTAGTAACCTGGCTGCTTGTTCATTAGCGAGGGTGAAGGGCCACTTGGGTGCACACATCACCTGGTGCTTTGTGGCTGCCGCCGCCGCCGCTGCTGCAGCCGCCGCTGCAACAAGTTCACCCGGGCGCTTCTTGTGAGCAACGCATTTCGGTTTTTTTTTGTGTTGGCCTGTGTTGGCATTCCCAGAACCTTCCAGAGCCACAGCTTCGAAAAGAAACCAGATTCACCAGTGCTGGCCCCTCTCTCCTCCCCCCGTAACCCTCCAATCGCTTCACAGTACTATACTGACATCGTCTATTAAAAAGGGGGGGCAAAGTGGGGGTTGCATGCACCAACATTTCCACCACGTCATGTCTTATGTGCAAATATGACACCAATTTGAAGCACACGTGTTTGCGTGCACAGTCCATTCCCCCCGGTGACCCTCTCTGGTTTTTTTTATAATTGTTTTCCTTACAATTCTCTCCAGGTCCTCTTTGACAGGGCACATACTAATGTTGTCAGTGAAATGGCATGCGTTATATCGAGGTAGACAGTGCCGTCTGCTAGCTCAGCGTTCACAATTGCAATCACATTCCTTCTTCCATTTGTTATCCACCTTTCCTCGTATTTCTCCACTTTGGAACTGCCTCCCATCGTCGGTTTCTCAAGTTCCTATAACCTTGGTTAATAAAACAAAACAAAATGGGTCAATGTTTTTTTTTCTGCCATGATAACTCATGCTCCCTGTTCACGGCTGCTTTGCATCAGCCTTTGGGCCCTGTGCGTAGAAAATACCATTTGAAAAGATGTTGTTTACATGCAATTAAGATATATCTCGATTGGCCCAAAGCCAGCAAATAAAAACCCTGCAATTCGGTTGCGTTTGCCGTACATCACATGGTGCAGCCCTTTGTCAATACACTGCTGGATGAAGGCTTCCCCGCACCGCATGTTCGTGATGGGGGTTGTTTTGACCCTACTTTACCAAGCTTGTCCTGTGGGTTCGTGAAGTGGAGGGAATCCCAGGACTGGTTCAGATATCGCTCACCGCCGATGTTAACCGTGGGCGGGAACCAAACTCGGGTCACCGGGTTCACTCCACAGAATGTTAACCATGACGCCAACCATATTGTGTATCCATCATCATCATCATCACCAGCCACTGTCTATCCACTGCTGGATGAAGCCCCCCCCCCCCCCCCAAGCCATCGCCATCTCCCACGGTCCAGTGTTGCAACCACCATCCATCTCACCCCTGTACACAAACCGATTTCATCGCTCCATCTCAGCAGTAGTCGTCCTCTAGGCTTCCATTCCGTCACCGAAGCTCGTCAATTGCCCGCCATCCTGTCGAGCGACCTGTCCTACGCGCCCAAGCCCAACATTTATTTTCTTATCGAGTGTACTGCTTGCTTTATAACACAGGGGACAGCACCGTCTTCCCCCACACAAGCGGTAGGTACACCGATTGGCCCTGGCCACAGCCCCAACCCCCACGCCACAGATCCGTTTGGCTGTCACAGCGACTGTGGGCCTCGGCAGCAAACGGTAGCAGCGGCATTAGCATCAATTAGCAATCCATCAAGGAGAGGCAGTGTGACGAGCGGTGCATTCACACTGTGGGCCGTGTGGAGTCGGTTGTGCTCACCCTAACGGGGCCCCACGATTCTCATCCACCCCCAACCAAAGCCAATACCTTTCGAGTAACACTTTGCAGCTCACAGTTGGATTTTAGTTTTTTTTTTGCTCCAAGGAAAGCCCTTCCTGGCACTCGCCGAAAAACTCCCCAAATACTGTAGCCACCCACCCAGCAATGGACCATCAAGAGTTTAGAAGCCACGCGTTGAGCCGAATGGGCATTCGAGCCACCGATCCCAGGTAGCAAACACTTGTAACAACATTGACGCGCCCCGTCACAGATGTAATCTCTAGCTGCCCCCACAATCTGGCCCATAAAAAAAAATCAGAAATCCCATTGCATGCATGTCGCATTGCACGGCATCCTTTTCAAACCACCGCTGGATTAAGCCTTTCCCACACGCCTCTGAGTCTTGAGAGATCATCATCATCATCATGAGCCGTGATCAATCCACTGCTGGATGAATGCCTCTCCAGATCCTGCGAGGCGATTTCGTGAGCTACTGCGACCACAAATCACCACGTTATTTGACCAAAACTTCGCCACGATGCTCAGCGCGAAGAGGTGAAGGTTGGGAAGCAACCAACACCCTTGGTGCACCTCGCAAAAGTTCGGGCGAATACAATGTTTGTGCTGTTGTTGTTGTTGTTGCACGACCAGAGTCGCCCTCATGGATCTATACGAAGTGTGGCTTGCACAGGAATAAATAATTACCGTACAGTTTTAATGACAGCATCAACTAGCCCACGGCAAAGCCTATTTGGCTTTAATATATACAAAGACACACACACACGTGTACACACGCAGAGCACAGGGGGGGGGGGGGCAAATACAAAGATCCCCCGTATAGTATTAACAGACTATTGGGACAAGTGGACCTATGAAGGCCGGCACGGCACACGAGGGGGTGGGTGGCCAGCACCAGCACGCACGGCCGCCTTTGTCTCCCCCCCCCAGTGGGAGATGTTTTAACTGTACACCACCGCGCCAGGTACTCGTTTGAGGCTGAGCCGACCTAGGGGGGGGGCAGTCCCATGAGCGGGTTTGGAGTAAATCGTGAGCGGGAATCGGAACTCGGGTGGCCGTGAGTTCGTGGCCACCGCTCCCCAGCACCGCAAATACAAAGATCCCCCGTACAGTCTTTAGCAGACGGTCGGGGCAAGTGCACAATCGTGCGCTCGAGTCTATCAACAGACTCCTCGTACAGGTGAACACACTCACGCGCGCACACGGCACGCGCTCACGGCACGTGCACACTCCGATGTGATACGTGTACACGGTCCACACTTTCTCGCAAACAATCATCGTGCATAACCACGCACGCTCTTGCATGCACGCGCACGCACGCTCTTGTACACAGCTCTGCTGCACAAACAGGACGTGTAAACAGGACGAGTACACACGCGGAGTGCGCTCTCCTGCACACAGACATTCACACACAGTCTCTAACACACGTGTACACGCTATTGCAAACGGTGTACACGCTCGGAAATAAACACACGAACACACACGTATACACACGCACGTATATACACACGCACGCGTGCGTGTACACTCTTGCATGCAACCGAAATCCGTGCACGGCGTCCTCCTCGCACAGCATCAACAACCACCACCACCAACAACAACTCCGACATCAACGTTATCAACACCGCAATCAACGACAACATCGCGCCAAGTTGTGCGTGGCGAGGCTCGGTCTCGCAGCCTCTCCACCACCACCAGCACCACCTCCTCCATCACCTCCTCCTCCTCCTCCGCGTCGTCTCACCTACTGTGCAAGACGCTGCCGAGACCGCGACTGCATCAAGACGCCGCCATATAATGCCGAAGCGGTAGAGCACCAGCCTCGTCCCCTACTGCTGCTTCTCCTCCTGCTGCCCTTGCTGCTGCTGCTGCTCCCCCTGCTGCCCGCCCCCCCGACCAACCAACCCCGTGCGTGTTGATGGGGTCCGAGAGCGCTCCCACAGTGCAACGCGCTGGAGTCTGTGGGTTCCTCCACCCACACCCACCCACCGCACAACGCCTCCTCCAGATCAGAGGATTTTAGTTCACCTCCAGCAACTAGAACTCCACTTTGCTGCTGCTGCTGCTGTTGTTGTTGTCGCCACTGCGCTGTTTGTGAGATCAGAGGATTGTTTACCTCCCCGGCACTTCCACAGCACGCGCTTGCAGGGCCTTTAGAGCAAAGGTCGACGCAGCCTGCGGCTCACGGAAAGGCGCATGCCGCGGCTCTTTTTTTTAAAGCACTGCAAGTGCGTCTCTTGAAATTCGAGAGAAAAATAAAGAAATGGTTCTTATTGTTATTTTGGTTTCCGATTCCCTCCTGACCATGTAAGTCCAGCTTACCATGGGAGTACAGTTTACCATGGGAGTCCAGTTCACCGTGGGAGTCCAGTTTACCACGTGAGTCCAGTTCACCGTAGGAGTCCAGTTTACCACGTGAGTCCAGTTTACCACGTGAGTCCAGTTTACCGTGGTAGTCCAGTTCACCGTGGGAATCCAGTTTACCACGTGAGTCCAGTTTACCGTGGGAGTCCAGTTTACCACGTGAGTCCAGTTTACCGTGGAAGTCCAGTTCACCGTGGGAGTCCAGTTTACCACGTGAGTCCAGTTTACCGTGGAAGTCCAGTTCACCGTGGGAGTCCAGTTTACCACGTGAGTCCAGTTTACCGTGGGAGTCCAGTTTACCACGTGAGTCCAGTTTACCACGTGAGTACCGTTTACCGTGGGAGTCCAGTTTACCGTGGGAGTTCAGTTCACCGTGGGAGTTCAGTTCACCGTGGGAATCCAGTTTACCACGTGAGTCCAGTTTACCGTGGGAGTTCAGTTCACCATGGGCAGGGGTCAGCAACCTGCGGCTCCAGAGCCGCATGTGGCTGCATTCAGGACTGTTTCGTGAAGTTTTTTTACCAAGTATCACAGTCTCGTATTCACATGCATTGCTGTTCTTGAAATATTGAGTTTTTTGTACCGTATTCGAAAAAAACATGGCTCTTATTTTGCTTGGCGACCTCCTGATTTAGAGGATTTATCTCGAGCAACCACAGTAGGGTAATCTTGGCAGGACCGCGGGGAGTGTGAAGGGGAGGTTTCTTTGCCACATAGCTACATATCAATGTCACCTCCACCCAGAGCTAGCAGTAATGTTGCCACAAGAGGGCTTTTTTTTGTTTTAGCCTACGCAGCTACAGCTCTGTTGCTACATGTTTTTTTTACCTTCGTAGCTACAGCAGCAGTTGTTGCATTCAGTCGAGGTTTTTTTTTACCTCCACCGTAAGAGGATTTACTTTCACTATTGCTTGCCCACAATAAGCGGGTTACAGCCACAAGTGTTGCCGAAGCAGAGGGATTTACCGCCAGTGGGTGTGTTAGCAGAGTTTACATTTACTGTGGTTTCATTTTAGAGGGATTTCATTTTGCAGGTTTTAATCTCCACCTTAAAGCCAGTTTATGTATTTTCTCGTAAGTTGGCGTGGCTAATCAGGGATCACTGTTTCTCCTTCTAAAGCATGGATCGGCAACCAAAACCACAAGCTGACATTTTTTGTCGAATTCGGTAACCCCCCCCCCCCCCCCCAGTATTTTAAGAGGCGTGAATGCGTGTGAATACGAGACGGTCCTTAATAACGCCACGACGCCGTCGTTAAAGAGCCGCATGTTGCCAACCCCTGCCTGCCCATGGTAAACTGGATTTCCATGGTCACGGGTCGGCAACCAAAATAACAATAGCCATTTGTTTCGAATTTCAAGAGCCGCATGCAGCTCCAGAGCCGCAGGTTCGCCGACCCCTGTTCTAAAGTCATCTATATCGGTCGGACAATGTTGTTCCGTATAATCCCAATTTAGTAATTTGCGGGTAATTTTTTAGCCTTTGGCATGTTTTGGACCAATAAAAGTCATGTTCACTGTAAAGGTGATCTGTAATTTGAAATCCAGGCAATGTTAGATATTACAAGGTTAAGTTGCAACATTGAAATTACGTTTTCACGCCACTGCTGAAGAAAATAAGTTTGTCCTTGATTAAATAAACAAATTCTTAAGAAAATTTTACACAACCGTCCCAAGCAGGGCCATACTAAATTGCAGTTTTCAGACATTTATTCCTACTTAAAAAAAAATAGATTAATTTACATCCCAAAGTGGAAATTATGTCTGTGGCATTTGCAAAAGGTTTGTCCATTCCTCAGGATATACAGACCCCACCCACACACTCGGGGTGTTGAATCGGTTTTTTTGCACCACCGGTAACCACATGAAAAAGTCCATGTTAACGGCGTTTGTGATTTTAATTTAACTAAGTGTATGTACTGTACTTACACTTCAAATATCACATCTCCAATTCAAAGTATGCTTCCATTTCATGATGAACAATCCATCCTTATTCTTGGTTCTTCCGGTAAAGTCACGTAGAAGGGAAACAATAAAATAAAACATTTATTATTGCTTCCCTTCTACGCGACTTTACCGAAAGAACCAAGAATGTGAATCCCTGCAGTCACGAAAGCTTTAAATCAAAATTTAATTCATCCTTAATTCAGTGGCATAGTTAGAATGGGCGCTGGTGGAAAGATTGAACCCCCCCCCCTCTCTTCATAGCGCGGAGCCAATGCCCTTTTGGCACTCGTACCATCTGCACTCAATAGCCACGCCACTGCCTGAATCGCAGCCCTATTGCTGCATCGCCAAGTAGAAGACGCCTCATCTCCTTGTCAAATGTTACGTACTCCCTCTCCTGGTGCCCTACCCACCCTGCAGTCACTAATTTCCATAATAATCTTGACTTTGCATCCCTTGAAAAAGTATGAAAATCTCGAAGGGACCAGTTATTCCCATTGACTGCCACCGTCACCCCCCATCCTGACGAAATCCTCGCGACTCGGTGAGAAAATACTGCTTACAAACTATCGTTATAAATGATAATGCTGTCTTGGTCTATCGTGAGCAATAATTATTGAGAGGGTGGGAAGTGATGTTTGCAACAGCCGTTGGATCGAGCAGAAGTGATTGCTGTTGCGTTGTGGTTGCGGAACTTAGCATGGAAAGAATCTCACATTTCTGGAAGTGGACAGAACTACATATAAATGCTTCGTATTTAGTGTATCATCAAATAGCTTCTAACGGGGACTTTTAATGTGTCGATATAACTCGCATATTTACTCAACAAGTCCTCGCTGGATTTTTTACGAAGAACTAGTAAAGAGGCGTCTCCCCATTTACTATAGGCGCATAGAGAAGACAATTTAATGGCAGAATGGGGTAAGCAACTTGGACATTTTGAATTGAGCAAGTGAGACGCACCGGTGTAAAATGAAAAGCAGGATGCAAATATACGAGTCACACGTGCAGGGAAGTCAGCGAGTGTGGCACCAACAGGCTATTGACCAAGGGGAAGATCTAAAGCCAGTTGGTGGGATACTGTAATAGCAAACCTTTTTGGTTACGAGTTGACTGTTCAACATTTGTGGAACCCAGTCGACAGAAGTGATGGTGAGGTATCGTTCGCATTAACTGCGATAACCTCGTGACCTTGAATGCTGAAGAACCTAAGAGTAGCTTTCACGCAGTTAAGATACAAGAAACTCCAGACAAACATGGGCACTGTTACAAAAGTTAATCGTTTCATTTGCACACGCACACAAGCAGGTGGGCCCTTCAGACGTCGGCGAGGCAGAATACAGAGGGCACACGCAGAAAAATAGTTTCATTTAAAAAAATGTACATCGAATGAAGAGCCACACGCTGGGTACCTGTCGCTTGGAACGTGTGAAACGCACGTGCACGGGCACACATTATGGGTAGATACAATTTATATGTACACACGCGTACCCACACACTCAAAGAATACAAAATTATGTACCGATCACGCTTGTACATGCACTTACAACTCAATTGCATTCGCACGCGCGTAAAAGTGATATACGTGTCATACGCACATACACGTTGCTATATTTGTATACACTGCCATACTTTCAGAAATAAAGCATTCACACAACTGCACACACAAACTTCCAAATTATTAAAGCGTAAACGCACAAATGCATACTCTCACACAAAACGAATAAACTTGGTTTTGCATTTACCCAATGCCTGATTTTTTGGAAGCATCCGTCATTGTTCTAGAAGTCAGGATTCTCAGAAATCGACAGTTTCAACTTAACAATTAACCAAGTTGAGCCAATACTAATGATACAAAACTCGGTCCCAGAGGAGTTCGCTGGAAGCCCTCAGTAACATAACTTTTCCAGCTCAAAGAGTTGCAATGCATCAGAAACTATTCGCCGTTCTCCCCACCACATCCACCCACACAACTGTGTGGGCGGATGTTGCCGATCCTAATTTTCCTAAATACTGTACGCCATTTATGGCAGACTGCTGTTCATTTGAAATTACAGATTTCGGAGTTCTGGGCACTAGATGTCTCAACGGCTGTCAGAAGCAAACTGCACACGTGACCAACTATGAAGGCTGGCATGACACACGAGGGGGGGGGGGGGGTAAGGCGAGAAGCACAGCTGGTTGTTTCACTCGCGCCAATATTCACAAGCTACATCGAACACATTCTCTGCCGAGCAATGCCAGGGAAGACGCCCTGTGTCAGGTTGGTTTTGCTCATGCGTTGAGGAAGAAAACCAAAATGGCAACGTAACTGGTGAAAACCAAAGCACCAATTAAATATTCAAGTGACAATGACAGTTTTTCTCGAGACACCGATGCTCATGAATCAGCACCGTGTGATTCTGGGTAAAAAAAGCCACCAGAGATTCAATAAGGTTCGTGTGTAGCCAAAAACGAGAAGAGAATAAGAATTGTTCTGTTGGCTGAGAATTCCATGGATCTGCAAGCTTCAGGACCACCATGGGGAGATAACTTTAAGGAAGCGTGGCAAGAGCAAACTCTTCCATGCCACACGTGCCAGCGCTGGCAGCTTGAATCCTAATGCAAGCAAAGTTGTGGCAGAAGGAAAACGGGGTCAAAGTCATCCAAGAAATACATCGTTCAGTGATGCGAAACTGTGGACGACTGGTGGGATGCATGTCCAGCTTGAGCGATGAAGTCTCGAAGGGATTGGAGAAAGCATACTCGGCTACCAGAGCCTCTAATCCTCGAGACAATGGCGGGAAGTTTCATGTGTGCTGTACTGAGTGTATGTTCTTCACGTGGTGACTCTGCACTGCATCCAAAAAAATCCATCGTACAAGAAAAGGCTTTTGCACCAAAATTTTGTCTAGCTTTGCAGTGATGGCTTATTTGGCAGACAAGCACAAAACAAATAAATCATGCATCCATAAAGCTGAACAGTGCCCAGTCTAACGATTATGTAGGGAGACCATTAAGAATGTCTGTTACCTATGTTATGAAATTGAGGTGTAGCCATTTTATCGGTAGGAGATTCCGGAATGGATTATCATTTTTCACTGTCTATATCGGTGCCAACATCACAGCTGGAAAACAACAAATAGAACCGATTATGCAACATATATATATTTTTAAAACTATTATGTATACATAATAAAACAATGACTCCCCATTTAGCATTATAGCTAAGTGCTGTGAGCAAGCACCTATCACGGTTGGCATGGCACGTGGAGAGGGTGGTCTGGTCAACACATGGGCTCGGCTGCCTTTTGACTCTCCAGTGCCATCAAACCAGGTACTCATTTTAGACCGAGTTAACTTAGGAGGTGTCCAGGCTCGGTTCAAATACTAAATTCCACTTACAGTGCAGTGCACCATCCACCACGTTACCACTGCCATTCGCAGCACACACAATCGTCATACTCACGTGCCCGCAGACACACATACATGCATCCATGGCTCCCATCCTACTAAAGAGGGCAGCCCAAAATCCCCTTAAAATGAGCACGTGATGCACACTCGGACTCCAAAGTGCTTCTTCACGAGTGTGAGGACTCAATGACGGTACATTCACAAAACACGTTGACCGCAACGCCATTTGTTACAAACTCCTAAAGCAAAAGCACCAAGCTCAGCTGCATGGGCAGGCTCAGCGGCTATCTTACATGAGTGTACACGAGGGGAGAAGAAACTCAATAAGTTACCGGCGGTAGGAGCAACAACGTCTGCCCTCATCCTGATGGGTGCACATGACTTCCAGACAAAAGTGTGCACGTGCACACACACACACACACGTGTGGGACCAAGTATACAGGAAAAGGTGTTGCGCATGTTAAACGTGGATTCCTGTGATAATGCCTACATGCATGTGTACACAAGAATGATTTATCTCGTGAGAATGTGCATTCATGAGCAAAATGTCTGCACAAGAGATACTATAGTATGGACAAAGGTGTGCACCCTTTCGCCAATGTGCGAGTTTAAGTGTGAGTGTTACTAAGTGGATGAGTCTGAAAACGCGCAAGAGTTGGGCAGTATCACTGTGTATGTCCTCCACCCTCAGTCCCCAGCTTTGCCAGCCAACTTTGCCTCCTCCACAACACTCATAAAGCTCTCCTTGCTGATCTTCAGCAGGTCCCGCAGAGTCTTATTCTCGAGCTGTGGACCGCACATACAAGCACCGTTGACAAATCTGGACATGTACTGCATCGGAGGTGTGGTATAAATAATAAATGATAATGAAACCGTCATTCCTGGACTCCACTCATCAAAACCGCACGCAAGAGATGGCACTTCATTCACACGGCGTGGAGAATGGTTTGCACTTGTCCACCATTCAATAAATATGTTCAAAGCATGAGAATCATGATCAATTGCATTACTGTCAGCTGCTTTCACACAATTGCAGTCGCTGATATATGTGCTTTGTTTTGGGGGGAAATTAATATACTATTATATCGTATTACTATATTCGAGGCATGGAACGGTGGTGCAGTGGTTCGTGCACCGAGTTCTAACATGAGTGGTGTGTGGTATCTGAACTAACTAACCAATCGTGGTTAAGTATGGTCCATGACTGATGTGTATTGACAAAAGGCTTTATATTATTAACTGATTATAATAATGAGCATAATGAGGTAAAGCTCAAACTATATGTAGAAACACTTTCTTCATTGCTCAAGGTACAACCCTGCAAATTCTTACTTATGCAACTGCTGGCAGAGCCTCCCACTAGAGTGAGCTCTGGGGAACGCCCTTTGGAAGAGGTGGAAGGAACCACATTCTACCCCTTCCCATGCAATGTGCTGATCCGGCTGCGGTTTACCAATTTATACATCTGCGTGGACAGAGGGAGGGTGAATGAATATCCTTGCTCACTGTTTCATACGCCATACCGGAAGACTGACCAGCGACCTCTGGATTTCTCCTTAAGTACTTTAAATAATGAAACTTTGACAATTTATTTCAAATTATTCTTGTAAGCGTTGTAAAAATATGTGCATGGTATCGATGCTATTAGTATTACCTCAAGCTGTGCCATCTTCTCCTGCTCGCGAATGACCTCTGCGTCATCAGCATTGATGGCCTTCTTCATCACCGCTGCCATCTCACACACCTTTTCCACCTGCGCCTGCAGTTCCTGCAGTGGAAACCCACAAAGATAAAGATAGCCTGAACAGACTGTTGGGGTAAGTGCTGTCAGCAAGCACCCATGAAGGCCAGCACGGCACACGAGGGTGTGGGTGGTCAGCATTACGCCCGGCTGCCTCTGTCTCCCTCAGTGGCAATATTCACACATTGCACCAGGTATTCATTTGAGGCTGAGTCAACCTACGGGAGGCACAGGACTGGTTCACACACACGCAAGTGTAACATTTATTTCAGGATACAAGTTGCACAATATAAGCGTGTGCGCATATATAAAACACACACCAACCAGCACTTCAATGTGCTTATTTAGATAAACCCACACATTTATCAATTTAATTCCCGACGTGGCCAGCAGAGGGCGGTGCAGAAAAAAACATCCATATTTTTTACTGTATTCTTTGGGTCTTTCGGTAAAGTCATGCAGATGGTTTCTTTGAACCATCGACGTGACTTTACCGAAAGACCCAAAGAAACGAATTCCTGCAGTCACGAAAGCTTTAAGTCAATATTTTTGACTGTACTTTTTTTATGCTCCCACCTCTATGATCTCTCCCTTCACCAATAATCCACACGACCCGCACGGCATGGGGAGGGGCCCTCATCGAGCAGTGGACTGAGAATGTTCTGTACGTTGCAAAAAAACAAGCTTTACCATCGTAAACGTCACAACTGCACGCTTAGGTTCCATACCTAAATCACCAGGTGGTGGTAGTGGTGATCAAACCATCAACCGAGGTCATTTTAACTGACCTGGTGTCAGGTGTGCACAAAATGGTTGATCAACCAATCAATCACAAAGACGGCAAAAATCTAGCAAAAACAAAACATGAGTTTGCGGTCTCCTCAATCAAAAGTTATTCGATGAGACAGTCACTCTCTGCGTTCAGCATGCATTTCGCATTTTATAACACCCATTTCTCCAGAATGTGCTATCAGTCAGATATGGGGTGATAAAATATCCCTCCAAAAGAGGGTTGCCAAACAGACATGTTCATTCAATACAAAACGTGGGATTTTAATACAATCCAGAGGTTGGTATAAACAAAATATTTGTATATAAATGTTCGAATAAACGATGAGCTGTCCCGACCACAGCAACGCAGCACTTTCCCTTTACCCCCCGCTTCCCGCACAACACAAAGTGACATATAACCGGTGCTTGATTTCCACACGTCAGCATTTGGCCCTTCCCCCTCCTCCTCCCCCACTCTCAGGCTTAAAACAACACTGTGGTCATAATTGAGTGCCATTTGTTTCGCATTTACGATACTTGGTCAACATAAAACACGGTCAAGAATTGCGCTGTCAGTAAAAAAAATACATCCTACCTTGGTCCGCGTGTACCATAAAAAAAACACAAGAAGAGCATTGAGAATCCTGTTCCATAACTCTCTCCTGACAGACAGCAGATGTTCATTGTGTAACGTTAAGGGACATTCTCAGAAGATGATACTGCAGAACCAGAGACCAGTAGGTGTCTTCATTATGCTTATCTCACCAAAACCAATTCACGGTGTTAAGCGAAATCCTGCAAAAGAAATAAACTTGGACTCCATTTGCAAGCTCAGCATTAATTTTGGATAACCAGTGGAGAGATCTAACAGCGTGACTCAACTGAAAATGATGGTTAGCACTATTCTATTCATGTACTGTGCGTCTATGCTCCCATGTCTTCATTCCCCGTCTTTACCAACCCTCACGGAAGTGTGGCGAGTTGAAGTATGGTAAAATAATCCCCGAAATCTGCGTGGCATGAGGAGGCCCTCATCCAGCAGTGGATTGACAAAAGAACTCTACATCTCGATTACAAGAATAAAATTCAAATACTGTAGAGCTCTATGAAGCAAACTTATGAATCCTTAAGAAATTTACCTCGTAAATTAATCTCTAGGAATAGACTTCTGCCAATCTGGTGGAAGCCATTACTGTTAGAGTAAATGGATGCCGATATAAATATAAATATGCGTGCGCAGAGTGAGCAAGGGATACTTAAACGCAGTGCTTGCGTAGAACTTCTCTGGGGGGCACCTCAATCCGCCACGCTCACCTTACAGTGGATCTCCTTGAGGGTGAGGACCAGCTTGTTCTCCTCCGTCTTGTTGGAGGATAGCAGGCTCACCATCTGCTCACGGTACTTGCCCATGATCAGCTCGAGGGCCGACTGATGTTCCTCCAGGGCAACCCTGAGCTCTGTGAATGCGCACACAACATGTGTCCGTATGAATGCACGAACGCACGTGCACACAGCTCCACAAGTGAGTGCACACTCTCAAGGCGCTTTCATGCAAAGGGCCGACACAAGCATTAAAATTATTGTGAGATTGTGAGGCAAATTGTATTTACAAGCACATGTTTTGGTCCATCATATTGCACACATTAAGGTAGTGTGGCAAGTCCTACATTGGGCCATCTTTGTTTACCCAGTGCTGACACCACACTCCTGGTACATATTTGAAGCCGAGTTTGTGTAGGAGTCCCATGGAGCTTTAGACACCACTTGCGACTGCTGTTATGCACTATAACGAAGCTAGGTACACTTTTAGGCCATGTTTAGTGGAAATGGCTCACGAGCAAGCCACACAAAAGACCCACGTCTTCTGGGTTAACTGCTTGGCCTAGAGTAACAGTCCAAGAAACTTATACACAGCATTATGCTACCCATGAAAAGATGCTGCTACTCAACTCGCTCAAGAGTGAGATAACTGCCAGAGAAAGCCATGGGCAAATTATTCATGAAGATACTTCCTCCGCCCCTTCAACAACAATCCCATTCCTCATAAAAATGGGGAGGGTAGAGTATTCAACGACACAATATACCTGAGGAGGCGTTTTGTTTGGTTGGGGCTGATGAAGCCTCACGTCTTTGTGGTATGCTGCAGGTTCAGCAGCAGGATCCCTCAAGCTGGTCAAAACATATAAATGTAGGAGCCAGAGGACACCTCTGATGCACCCCTCTGATGCACCCCTCAATGACTCTATCCTGTGTCATGAAGGTGCCCATTTACCTTGAACAGGAGATCGAGGTACACGGAGGCAAGAAAAATAACCCAATGATCTGGCATCTTGATGGTTTTGTAGGCCTTGAGCAGGTATATGCAGAATTGTAGATTGTTTAATTAAAAATCCCTACATATGCTACAGGACACAGGCAGAAAATATCATATACGAGGGAAAAAAGTATTTGATCCCCTGCTGATTTTGTACGTTTGCCCACTGACAAAGAAATGATCAGTCTATAATTTTAATGGTCGGTTTATTTGAACAGTGAGAGACAGAATAACAACAAAATCCGGAAAAACGCATGTCAAAAATGTTATCAATTGATTTGCATTTTAATGAGGGAAATAAGTATTTGACCCCTCTGCAAAACATGACTTAGTACTTGGTGGCAAAACCCTTGTTGGCAATCACAGAGGTCAGACGTTTTTTGTAGTTGGCCACCAGGTTTGCACACATCTCAGGAGGGATTTTGTTCCACTCCTCATTGCAGATCTTCTCCAAGTCATTAAGGTTTCGAGGCTGACGTTTGGCAACTCGACCTTCAGCTCCCTCCACAGATTTTCTATGGGATTAAGGTCTGGAGACTGGCTAGGCCACTCCAGGACCTTAATGTGCTTCTTCTTGAGCCACTCCTTTGTTGTCTTGGCCATGTGTTTTGGGTCATTGTCATGCTGGAATACCCATCCACGACCCATTTTCAATTCCCTTGCTGAGGGAAGGAGGTTCTCACCCAAGATTTGACGGTACATGGCCCCGTCCATCGTCCCTTTGATGTGGTGAAGTTGTCCTGTCCCCTGAGCAGAAAAACACCCCAAAGCATAATGTTTCCACCTCTATGTTTGACGGTGGGGATAGTGTTCTTGGGGTCATAGGCAGCATTCCTCCTCCTCCAAACATGGCGAGTTGAGTTGATGCCAAATAGCTCCATTTGGGTCTCATCTGACCACAACACTTTCACCCAGTTGTCCTCTGAATCATTCAGATGTTCATTGGCAAACTTCAGACAGGCATGTATATGTGCTTTCTTGAGCAGGGGGACCTTGCGGGCACTGCAGGATTTCAGTCCTTCACGACGTAGTGTGTTACCAATTGTTTTCTTGGTGACTATGGTTCCAGCTGCCTTGAGATCATTGACAAGATCCTCCCGCGTAGTTCTGGGCTGATTCCTCACTGTTCTCATGATCATTGCAACTCCACGAGGTGAGATATTGCATGGAGCCCCAGGCCGAGGGAGATTGACAGTTATTTTGTGTCTCTTCCATTTGCGAATAATCGCACCAACTGTTGTCACCTTCTCACCAAGCTGCTTGGCAATGGTCTTTGTAGCCCATTCCAACCTTGTGTAGGTCTACAATCTTGTCCCTGACATCCTTGGAGAGCTCTTTGGTCTTGGCCATGGTGGAGAGTTTGGAATCTGATTGATTGATTGCTTCTGTGGACAGGTGTCTTTTATACAGGTAACAAGCTGAGATTAGGAGCACTCCCTTTAAGAGTGTGCTCCTAATCTCAGCTCGTTACCTGTATAAAAGACACCTGAGAGCCAGAAATCTTTCTGATTGAGAGGGGGTCAAATACGTATTTCCCTCATTAAAATGCAAATCAATTTATAAAAAAAATTTACATGCGTTTTTTTGGATTATTTTGTTATTCTGTCTCTCACTGTTCAAATAAACCTACCATTAAAATTATAGACTGATCATTTCTTTGTCAGTGGGCAAACGTACAAAATCAACAGGGGATCAAATACTTTTTCCCTCACTGAATGCAGGATCCCACTGCCTGAACCCACACTGGAATACTGCAAGTTTGTCGGCATGCCTGACAAGAATATGTTGCATAATTCTTGCGAATACCTTTTTCAGGATACTGAGGAAGGAGATAAACTGGTAGTTAGAATTGAAGTTCCCTTTTTTATACAGAGACCACGATTGCGTCCTTCTAATTCTGTATAAATCTGTGATCCAAACAGTTGTGATGATATCATCCAAGGCAGCCTACACACAACCATTTTTCTGAGGTCATTCCTGGTGACTACTTTATCTGGTCTCAAGCTCCAGGTCACCCTTTGCACCTCCTTGGCAAAGGGCAAATTCTACCAGCCACTCTCAGGGTGTGGCTATTTTTTCCAACCTTTGACGTTCCACAACCCCGATAGTATAATCTATGTTGCCCCATGAGGTTGCTTGCATTAAGGAGCTCCTCCACTCCACTCCCTTAATTATGGTAATCGGGTTGAATTCTGCTGGTATTAAAAGGATTTCATGATCACAAGTACTTTCCATCTCAGCGACTCACAACCACCAATTATCCTTGCAGTGCTAACCGGCTCCCTGGACCTCTGACAAAAGGCATGGGATGTTGTAACATGCTGGGGATGAGCGCCACACTTTTTTAAACAAGTAGGAACACCTCCTTCATTAGCTACAATGTACGGAGAGGCCTCGATCATGTACAAAGAAACATCAAAGCAGCTGTGTGGGCTACAATCCTAAACCTTATATCACCGTCAAGAAATGCTAACCCCAACTGCAAACAACAATGACATGCTTACTTACAACATCCAACAGCTAGCAGAGACCAGGTTATTCTGGGTTTGATTGCAATCATAGGTATACGCTCACTCTAACAGTGAAATAATAGCAGGCAAAGATGACCTACCATTGGCCAGTGGGCCTAGAGTATAGCTCCTGGTGTCAGTCACCTTGAGATATACAGCTGCCTTTGTCTTCCAGTACTAATATTTCCACACCTGATAACGTACTCCTTTAAAGTTGCGTTGACCTCGGGGAGGTTCGGGGTAGGTTCAGATACCCCTTGATCCCCATGTTATCCATGGCTGGGAATCACACTCAGGAATGTAGTGCAATGCATGAACAACCACGCAACAGCTCCCTACACCTACAAAAACACATACGTGCACTCCACATTTATTCGGTGTGCTACCTTTATTTTCCTGCTGAAGTTCCCGGATCTGCCGATTCTCCTGCTGGATGCCAAGGACGAGTGCTGAGCGGGGCCGATGCCGTGCCACCTCATTCAGCTCTATCACCTCTTCTTGGTACTGAACACACACATGGATACACAATCCCGCCTAAATACAGCCTCGCAATTATTAAGGTATATTTAACGAGCTTCAATTATAGTGAGCATAGCAGAAGGGGTGTATGGGCCAGCATCACACAAATATCGGCATCTTTGTTCCACCAGGAAATATGTAAAAAAAAAACACACCAAGGTACTAGGTATAAACATTAGTAATGAGCAAAGATGGCTCGGAGTAAATATGGATGCACCAATCCCTTATATGCCAAACACATGAACGTATATATAAACCTGAGCCTGGAAGGTATAATACAACGATCGTGGCCCAAGTGCCAGCACTGGGCAGCGAGCATTCATTCACCTGCTTCATGGCTTCCACACGCTTATTGAGCGCAGACGTCTGCTCGATGAGCGACTCGGCTGCGCTGTCATGCTCCTTGAGTCGGTCAACCAGCGCACGGGCGTCCGCTAGAACCTTGTCCATGGAGCAGCTCATGGCTGCTCACCTGGCCGGTCCCTCTCGCCCTCCCACTAAATCCGCCACTCGGCTTGTCACTATTCCGCTTGTTCACTTGCAGTGCAATCCCACACCCACTCTGGGAGGCTGCACACTTCAGCACAAAGAAAGCAATCAATTTTTAAAAGCCAGACATACGAGTGTGTAGAATGGGCGACGATGGTAATGGGATGTTAGAGCACTGGCCCAGTGTCTCCAGATTGAACTACGGTAAGTTTTTTGTACTCTTGACTCCAATATGACTTAGTGATTTAAAAAAATCACGAATTTAAAGGCCCTTACGTGGTTGTACGTGCCCGTGTAAACCTCTTCGGACTCAACATTCTTACTATGACCTACCATTATTCATAACATGACTTAAGATCCTAATTAGCAATTTACAAGCATATCAACGAAGATTATACTGTAACAATGCATAGTTAATGCATAGGTCCTAATAGAGAATTGTGTTATCTTGGTTAGACACTATCAAAACATCAGTGTTAGATTTTTTTTTATCCGGCTGGGTAGCAAGGTGGTTTAAATCCACAAGGCTAGAGTTAATATCCTGGTCATGGGGAACTAAGCCCGTCATCCTTACAGGGTCAATAACGTGAATATCACAGTGGTTGTTCTAAAGAGACTTGCCCTACCACGGGGAATGTGGAATTTCTACCACTGAAAAAGCCCCACCATAGATGAGTGCCCCTCCAATTCGTGCTTGAGCAAGGTGAAGCTGTGGCTTGGGTGAGTCTCTCTGCTCACGTAAAAAGTAGAATCGGAGGAGAGCGAAGACAAGAGAGAAACAGCGGGACAAATGTGACAAGAGGCGCGAGTGACAGACGTTACATTGTAAAGTGAAGAATGAAAAAGTGAGGTGTAGAGGACAGTGAGCAGGGATGACATGGATGAGATGGCAGTGATGGCGAAGACAGGGGGAGTAAGTTCGACACGTAGGCTATCGCGACCAATAGTGTTCATAACACAGATGTTCGGGTCAGATCGCGTAAACGAATGTCGAACTTCTTTCACACCGTACGCAGCCTCATCGGAGGTGCCGGAAAACTCAACTCGGCAGAGATGGAAATGAGGACGGTGGGCAGGCGAGGGTGGAGATAAACGCGAGGGTGGAGATAAAGGCGAGAAATTTTGTCCGCGAAGAGTTCGCGTGTGGCGAGTGACACGATCGAGGTTGCGAGTCCGTGACAAGGTAGTTGGCAGTGGGGTAGTGGGGGGGAGGAATAACACGGTGGGTAGGGTAGAGATGGTGGAGATAGCAGTGTGCTTGGGGTAGCGTGCGACGACTGGAAGAGAAGGGTAGAGTTAGGGGGGGGGGGGGTTAAAGTCGACACGCTCGAGTGAGGGTCGAGGGTAGAGTATGAGACGAGAAGAGGGGGACGCGCGAGCGAAGCTGCAACCGGGGAATGCGGCCCCCTTCGACCCGTCCATCTAGGCAAGACCGAGGCTCCAGCCGGGCGGCACCAAGGCGTCAGCCCGGTTGCTCGTGTTGAGCGCGCGAAGCCGTCGCCGAGCGGGGAAACACGCTCGCGGGTACGGGGGGGGGGGGGGCTGTTGTTCAGTGAGAACTAAATAACAACAAAAAAACCAAGACACGGGAACTCACTCTGAGGCGATATAAAAACTAGGGAGGCCTCCTTCCTCGCTCTCCCCCCCCTGTCCCCGCGTCGTTCAACCAACCTTCGGGAGCGTGACGTCACCGGAAGTGAGACGCAACGGCCACGTGGGGGGTAGTGGAGGAGGGGGGGGGGATTGGTGGAGGGGCGGAGACTCGTGGGTGGCATAAACCCCATCAGTCGTGGTCTATCCACTGCTGGATGAAGCCCTCCTCGCCACTCCGGGTTTCGTCACCAAAAGAGGGTCCCCCCACCCCCCCCCAAACTCTCGACGAGCAGCCACGGGCCGCCATCGAACCAATTTGTTCGGCAAAACATGAATTCGTCATGCGCACGCTGCACGCGCCTGATGATGGTTGAACACGGACCACGTGATGTGAGATCAATTAATTTGGTGATGTGCTGCCGTTGCTGCGTTGGCAGTGGTGCACGGATACAATGTATAAACAAACAAAACAACCCTTACTCTCAGGCCTCTATGTGCTCTGAAGAAGGGCCATTAGCCGAAACGTCGACTTTAAAAACATTTTAGGCAGTGTAATCGACAAATGTATTGAGGTTTTTTTTTAGATCAAATAAGTACTGTATCACTTGTTTGCAATTAACAGTGGTTATGTATATCCATACATAGGAACGTAGAATTTGAGCCAAATAGCTCAAGGTAACCAAAGTTTTCTGAACACCGCCCTTCTACGTGACTTTACCGAAAGAACCAAGAATATGAATCCCTGCAGTCACGAAAGCTTTAAATCAAAATTTAGCTTCTAAATACGTTCACTTTTTGTTTTATTTTACTACGGTAATGCACATGTACAGCCCCTTTGTCAATCCACTGCTGGATGACGACTTCCACACCACGTACGGGTCACGTGGGCCACCCTGGTTAATGTGGCTGGGCGAAGGCGTGGAACAGACACGGGAGCGTCACTGTGAAGGCGAGGGGTGGTGGATCACGTAAATGTTGCGAAACCCCTTTCAGGTGGGCATTGGGAACGTGCAATGCCATGGCTTGCCAGGAGAAGGCACTACAGCAATGATTTTCAATCCACCTGTTATGTCTGGAATGAATAGAGTGTTTCCCCCTCGCACGCGTGGGTTTTCTCTGTGTGCTCCGGTTTCGTCACACATGTAAACACTCATTAATTGGCCGATACCACCTTCAATATATAAAGGACCACAGAGCTTGAGTAATTTGTTGGTGCAAGTTCATCGCGTGGCTGCTTGTCTGTGGTTCCTCCTCGCACCTCTGAGTCGCTCTCCTACGTGTGACCCGAATACTGTGCGCGTCACGAGGTCACATATTATATAGGTGTAGTAGTAGTATAACTACTAGTATAACTACTACTACACCTATATATGTCTTTTGCTGCCCACAAAGTAGCCAGTATCCTCTATAAAGTTTACGAACAAATACACTAAGTCACAATGACAAACACAATGCAATTAGTTATACATTCGTTACTCTTAAGTATATAAATAAATATTTGAAAGTACGAAAAATACTTGTTTTAAAAACTCAATGTATACAAAATAATGACCTATTTTCCCGCATATAACCCGCGGGGTATATCACTTTTTACAAACAAAACAAGACCCTGCGGGGTATTTGGAGGTGTGGGCCATCTGAAATTTGTTTTACACAAAACGCTATTTTTGCGGGGAATATGCGTCTGCGGGTTATATGCATATGCGGGTTATATGCGGGAAAATACGGTACTGTTCTATAAACTGCTCTTATATTCATATTCTTGGTTCTTTACGTTAAGAAAAAAACGCCACTTTTTTCAAATTTTCTTGCTGTGGTTTTCACACCTGATGATGATTGCTTGTGTTGCAGTCGAAACGTCGTAATAATTTTATTTTATATTTTTATTATTTTATTGTTTCCCTTCTACGTGACTTTACCGAAAGAACCAAGAATATGAATCCCTGCAGTCACGAAAGCTTTGAATCAAAATTTGCTCTTGTATTATTAAGTACTGGACAAACAAATTAAGTTACCATTTCAATAAAAACATCACTGTCTCATTAACAGGCAACATCCCCGAATGGTAGGAAACACCCATTGGCTATTTTCTGTCTCCATCTATAATAGCACAGTACTGTACTAGCAAAATAAAAAATAACATCTTGAAAATTATTGTGAGTAAACCATATTTATAACTAATTATAATTAATGTTCTTCAAATAAAACCGAAGTTTAACAAACTCCTGCTGTTTCAGTGATGATTATAGGCGACTGTAAACAGCAATGGTATTCAACGACACAATATACCTGAAATTTTCTTGCTGTGGTTTTCACACCTGATGATGATTGCTTGTGTTGCAGCCGAAACGTCGTGATAATTGTATTGTTTTATATTTTTATTATTGTATTGTTTCCCTTCTACGTGACTATACCGAAAGAACCAAGAATATGAATCCCTGCAGTCGACCAGCATAGCAATTCATGCCTGTACAGGGTTTGCCTTGCAAATGAGTCATTATTATCTCAAAACATATTTAACGCATTTCTATCTCAATGACTTTCCAGAAGTGTGAACATTGGATAAAATGTAACATTTTAACTCGTAAATCATATTTTCAGAGTGGATTGGCACATTGTTGAAACAGAAACAAGATTAAATCCACAAATCAGCCTAAACGTGCGAATGACTTATAAATAATATAAATATAAAATTCAATATGAAATAATATACAGTGACTGTGTATTTTAATTAACAGTATATATGTCTGATATTTAACCAATAGTATTACTTGCTTCAAATTGATGATGATGAAAACTGTAACCCTTCGAGGGTTTTCCACATTAATATTTTATCTTGACCTTACAATATCACCACCCATCCACAAGGGGCCTACGAGGCACACTGGTTATTCCGGCTCAAATGAAGGAGCCAGGATCTGGTCCCCATCCCATCACCTCTCTTCCCACTTAAAACAGCTTCCTGGACTGTGGCATGGCTTTTCTAAAATATATCTCGAGACATTTTTAGTTTTTTTTATTCATATGTTTTCGTTGTGATCGGTTAAAATGTTTCTTTTTTAGATATATGTACAGGTCTTTGTCAATCCACTGCTGGATGACGGACTCCTGGAGTCACGCCGCGCGTGTCGTGAGGGATATTTGACGATTCGATCCCACGCTCATCTTTTAGGCTTTTCAACTCTGAAAGCTATTCAGGGAGATTTATTATTAACAATTTTATTCTTAAAATAGCCTATTAAAATATACCGCATTGCTTTCAATAAATGGTCATTGAGAGACTAATTCCTGTAGAGACTTCCGGTCAATCACAACCCTATGATCAGTGATGGGTCGGTGAATGTGGTTGAGCATTTGACGTAGGAGCATAGACGTTGAGTACAACGATATGTACACGTACTATGCAAGTCGCTGCACTGCCCTCTGTTGCCTACAACGTAGTACCGCAGCCTATCCGAATCTTTATTTATCCTGGAGAATTTCGATGAGCCATGAAGCTCTTTTTCACAGATGTGCAGGGGCGGATCAGAACGTTACAACAACAAACAATACAAAGAAAAAAAAACAACCATCGGATGCAAAGTATAGGAAAGAAAAGCAAACCACTATAACAGATATGTTGAATGGTGATCGCCCATCTATAGGCAAACATAGACGGTACATTCTAGATTTAAAGCTTTCGTGACTGCAAGGATCCAGAGTATAGACGGTACAGTATAATGTACCCTCTCTTAATTGTACATTTTCACATTCGCTTATGTTTGTACTATATTATATCAGAATAACGCCTGCAAATACTTTAAACAAGGTATCAGACCGCCGCATAGATGCAGTACTGCCTCAAAGAAGAGCTAGATTATAGTTGTAATGCATTTCTTGCAATAATGTATTTCTTACTGTGCCTTCCGCCGTGCAACGGATAGCCACTGTAGAATCTCATTATTTGAATAGAGATGCAAAGAAAATCGCCATTGACTTTGATGGGAATTTATTGACAGTCGAGGAATTGCCAATAAACTCCCCTTTCATTTCAATGGCCATCCCCGCGTCTCCATTCAAATTAATTGCATTCATTATATTGTAGAATTCGTCTTTAACAGAGTGTTTTGCTAAATTTCACATTCAGGTGAATATTGAAATTAACGTGGGGAACACCCCTTTGAGAAATCGCGATTCTGCCACAATTCACCCGCGAAGAATCATAGGATTCAAATATGGTTCCTACAGAAATATCCCAACACTATTCTCCACACTGTTCTCTCACATTGAACACTTATTTTACCAATGTTGGTCTCAACGCGCACACAATAACGGTCACTGCATCGCGCGCTTTCAGATGGACTTCCGCGGCCGTATAGAACGCTCTTCCTTCCGATATTAGGAAGCCTTAGAAGCTATGCACTTTAAAATATTAATTAAAAACGAATTTCTTTAGAACTCATTTTTGTGTTTAGTGTGTTATCCTTCCCCCGTACCTCCGATTAGTTGGCAACGTACGGTGAGAAAGAAGTTAAACGTACATCCAGACACTCACATATATATTATGTTACATTTGTACATATACCTACTAGAATCACCCAGGAATGTCTGTCCTTAACTCTTGTGACGTCACTCCACATCGACCAGCCCCCCTCATTAATAGTTCATAGTTCATAGTTCATTTATTTGGTATAGCCCTGTGAGCCATTCGGCTCTTGAATCGGGTGCAACCGCAACAAACAAAAAACATGAACAAGAAAACATCTTAGAGTGATTATGTGACTGTGCAAACAGAAAATACAGGAAAAAAATATCAAAATATTCCTGAAATAGCACCGTACACCAACGCTGTGTGCAAAAATCCCAGTGGGATGCAAGTCAATTAACAACAACAACAACAACCACAAGACAACTAAGATTAAAGCCATCAGTCTAACTCCGTACTACAATAAACAAAAACATGGCCAAAACAAACAAAAAACTTTTCGAAATCACCAAAATAAAAGCCATAAATCCAATGTAACAGTGATCATAGGGACTGTGACCGAATTTTTAACAATAAACTACATAAATAAATTATAACACCAAAATATAGAGCCATATTTTAGGCCACTGAATAGCAGTGGCAGCTAGGGTTGTACAACTCCTCTAGAGCAGTTTTGAGTGAAGATCTCATAGGTAGTGATTCA